CCACGGCTGCGACAAAATTGCTGCGACGACGGCTGCGAAACAATTGCTGCGACCAAGGCTGCGAAAATAACTGCGACCACGGCTGCGAAAAATGTTCGAGACAACGACTGCGAAAAGGGCTGTGACCACAGCTGGCGAAAGTGGCCGCGACCACGGCTGCGAAAAAATGGCTGCGACGACGGCTGCGAAAATGGCTGAGACGAAGGTTGCGAAAAAATGTCTGCGTTGCAAACAGCGGTTGTGATATACATGTAGGCAGCAAATGTGCCAACGGAGGCGGCACAGACTGCGACGACGACTGCGTCACAGAAAACGGTTGTGACAACGGAGGCGGCACAGACTGCGACGACGACTGCGACACAGAAAATGGTTGTGACAACGGACCCGGCACAGACTGCGACGACGACTGCGACACAGAAAATGGTTGTTACATCGGAGGCGGCACAGACTGCCACGACGACTGCGACACAGAAAACGGTTGTGCCAATGGAAGGGGCACAGACTGCGCCGACGACTGTGACACAGAAAATGGTTGTGACAACGGAGGTGGCGCAGACTGCGACGATGACTGCAACACAGAAAACGGTTGCGACATTGGAGGCGGCACAGACTGCGACGATGACCGTGACATAGGAAACGGTTGCGACAACGGAGGAGGCACGGACTGTGACGACGACTGCGACACAGAAAACGGTTGTGACAACGGAGGCGGCGCAGACTGCGACGATGACTGCAACACAGAAAACGGTTGCGACAACGGAGGCGGCACAGACTGCGACACAGAAAATGGTTGTTACATCGGAGGTGGGACAGACTGCCACGACGACTGCGACACAGAAAACGGTTGTGCCAACGGAGGGGGCACAGACTGCGCCGACGACTGTGACACAGAAAATGGTTGTGACAACGGAGGCGGCACTGCGACGATGACTGCAACACAGAAAACGATTGCGACAATGGAGGCGGCACAGACTGCGACGATAACTGCTACACAGAAACCGGTTGTGACAACGGAGGAGGCACAGACTGAGACGACGACTGCGACACAGAAAACGGTTGCGACAACGGAGGCGGGACAGACTGAGACGATGGCTGCGACACAGAAAACGGTTGTGACAACGGAGGCGTCACAGACTGCGACGATGACTGCGACACAGAAAGTGGCAGCGAAAATGGCTGCGACCACGGCTGCGAAAAAAATGGCTGCAACCACGGCTGCGAAAAAGGCTGCGACCACCGCTGCGAAAATTACTGCGACGACGGCTGCGAAATAATGGCTGCGACCACGGCTGCAAAATGGCTGCGACCGCGGCTGCGACAAAATGGCTGCGACCACGGCTGCGAAAATGGCTGCGACACGGCTGCAATAATGGCTGCGACCACTGCTGCGAAAATGACTGCGACCACGGCTGCGAAAATGACTGTGACCACTTCTGCGAAAAAATGGCTGCGACCACTTCTGCGAAAATGGCTGGGACCACGGCTGCGACAAAATGGCTGCGATGACGGCTGCGAAACAATGGCTGCGACCACGGCTGAAGCTGACGAGTTCAAAAGATATAACACCTTTGCCCGTGTCGAGATACTTCGGATTTTCTTTTTGCTGCATATGGTGCCCGCTCGGGACAGGGCCGTGTGCCGGTACGCGATCAGCGTCTTTACCTGCGTGTTGCTCTAATTGTAAACTCGAAGGTACACCTTCACCTTATCAACATTGCGAGTATACTGCACCCCGCTTATCGAACTAGCGCTAGTGCGTGAACTTGCACACATCTCGTACAAATAATCACCAACCATAGGTAGATATACAGTTTTTGCTTGCACTTCTTGCGGTTTAAGCAAACATTCTACTTTTCAAGGCAAACTGCACAAGTGACAGTTTTATCTCCCTTACGGTTGCTATTCTCTTGAGGACCAACGTATATGGCCGATTGGTTTGCAGGCCTGCCTGCGAATCATCAGGTCCCGAGTTCAAGACCCGCGCTGGTAGCAGGGAACGCGTAAAAAGACTTTTTATTACGCGTGTTGAACTGTCCCGATACCCACGGTCAACTGGGTACTCACAGCTCGGAGTGAGAGTAACAAGGATGCAGTTTACAGGGTTATGGGCTGTTACACGCCCGATTGGTTGAGAGATTAACCTGCTCTCCCCTGACTCACTTGTGAGGTCTGCATCCGCCACTAAGGTGAACAGGCATAGTGGTGGCCTGCGGATGCGAAGGCTAGTTTGTGTGTTTCTGAACATTCAAGCGATGCCGACGCGGATCCCGAGAATATTATTATTATTATTCTCTTGATGTTGTCCAATAGCTCGATCCCTGCTCTGGTGAAGGCCACACTCAGGTCTGCCTTTCTTGACTTTGCCGACATCAGCGGGATGCGGCTTGGGATGCGGATTTGGATCCGGCTTGGGATCCGGTTCGGTATGCGGCTTGGTGTCCGGCTTGGGATCCGGCTTGGGATCCGGCTTGGGATCCAGCTTGGTATCCGGCCTGGGATCCGGCTTGGGATCCGGCTTGGGGTCCGGTTTGGGTCCGTCTTGGGATCCGGCTTGGGATCTTGCTTGGGATCCGGCTTGGTATCCGGCTTGGTATCCGGCTTGGTTTCCAGCTTGGTTTCCAGCTTGGGGGTCCAGCTTCGGATCTGGCTTGGTATCCAGCTTGGTATCCGGCTTGGTTTCCAGCTTGGGGTCCAGCTTGGGGTCCAGCTTGGGGTCCAGCTTGGGATCCAGCTTGGTTTCCAGCTTGGGCGTCCAGCTTGGGATCTGGCTCCACGGACCAATTTTAGAAATGCAACAGTGTATAGAGAAAATTCCGGCATTTCATGATTTTTGACATTTTAACAGCAATTTATTTTTCGGCACGCGGTCAATACTACTGCATCACCAAAGCCGATTTGAAAATTTTCCTCAGCGTTTTAATTTCGGCATTTCGGGTTGGTGCCGTATAGCTGAAACTAAATAGCTGCAGGGGCGTCGGACACGCAACGGTCACTACGGTAATGACCCTACCACTATTTGCCGCAAGTACCCCCCGAATCAATAACATGTGCTGATTTGGGCTCTAAATTTCCAAACATTTCAGCTCCGCCACCCCTCCCTCACGCGTAAATTGTACAGTTCAGATAGCTGACCGTACTACACTAAATCACGTTCCGACATCCCTGAGCTGAGTGTAAATAGTTACCCGGTTTATACCCTTTAAACAGTGACTGTACAATAGCCTTCCACATTTCATACCAGAACTGCAGACATGCAAAGTCATGCACTTCACAGCAAGTGCACTGCATGGCGACAAGCAAAGTCATGCACTTCACAGCAAGTGCACTGCATGGCGACAAGCAAAGTCATGCACTTCACAGCAAGTGCACTGCATGGCGACAAGCAAAGTCATGCACTTCACAGCAAGTGCACTGCATGGCGACAAGCAAAGTCATGCACTTGACAGCAAGTGCTCTGCATGGCGACAAGCACAGCATGCACACTCACAGCCCTAGCATGCAAAACAGTCCGAGGAGTTGTCATATGTAGCAGCATCCAACCAGCAACAACACATTCAAACTTTACAGCGAACTGTACGACTGTAGAAGCCAGCTAATAATACCGTACCGGGACGTCGTACATGACTAACGGGTACTCGTTTGCTAACGGATCAGCAGGTAAACAGACGGGTGCTCGGGTACTCGGATCACCCCTTTCGACCCTAGTATACTTATCTTCTCCTTTCCTTTCCAGAACAAAGGACTGTTTCATCCTCACAGAAGTGATGGGAGAGCAAGTCGGCCTCGAAGCACAAATAAAATTGCAGCTCGTGAGCCTTTTTACGGAAGCTTACTGTAATGAGGGCGCGTGTGCACTTCTGTTGCTTTTCAACGGCGCATTTCTGAGCAAAGTCAAATGCACCCCCTTTTAGACCTCTTCAGCTATTGTCAAAACCATGCTTTGGCAATGCACCGGGGCCTGTGGGTATCAGGATTTTCTTGTGGGTTGATGGTTCACATCTTACCTGGCATGGGTTTGCATGCAAATGGAATTGGTTGGATTCAACCCATTCAATGCATGTATACCCAACAAAGGGTGCAAGGTTTTTAGTTTCGTGTGCAATTCATTTAGCTTCCCGTCCTTTCCATACTCATACTAGCGAGTTCAGTTCCGGTCACTGAAAAGCGAAAAATGCAGTCACAGCTCGCCTGTACAAAGTGAATGGGCGCCTCATGACTGCAGTTCGAGATGCAGTTCGAGGCCCGAGTATCTTCTCCCGCGGCCTTTTCGGCGTTGTCGATGCTATTTCTAGGTAGCTGAGGTCATCACCTTTCCAATGGTGCCACACATGCCATGCTTCCAAAAAATTAATAATGCCTCCGCGCTTGGCGCGGTTGCACTTCGAAGTACTAATTTCGACCAGATCCGTACTCGGCCCCGCGAGGAACACCCGATTTTCGTGTTCAGCGGCCTCGAATTGGCCTGAACCAAGAGGATTCTAGAACATTGAGGCTCGCGCTTTGGCGCGGTAGAAGGAAGATGATCACAGAAACCAGCACACGGCGATTTCCTGTAGGTAGACGAAAAAATTCGAGTGAACTGCGCGCACACTGTAGAAGCAGTGACGGTGAAAACGTGTGACTTGTGCAAGCAGGCGCGCACGGCCTGCGTGCACACTGCATGCATGCACACATCCTGTATCGCAATGTATGCACCAGATAGTGCAGTGCTGGACGGAAACCACACGGCTCACATACATACTTGCATTTACTTCTGTGACTATTTTCTCCACCCGTTTTCCGATCTTCAATCGAGTATAACTCTAGATTGCCTTGGAATTTTGAGTTCAAATTTTCCCAGGTTGTTTCTCACATCTTCCCGGTTTAGAAAAACTAGCGTTTTATGCGAAACTCACGAATTTGGTTTTTCGATTGAAGTCCCTACTCATACCCAACATTAGTGTCATTTTTAAAATTTAGATCTCTGTTCTCATTTTCTCTTTGTGTGTCCCACTGTGAAGGTGTCCTGATTGGCTGCTTGCTTCTCTTCTGTCCCCTGTTGCTGACAGGCTGCAATGGTAAGCTATATTATGGTGGATGAATTTGGTGCTGGCAATGTCATTATTTTCATGTGTGTCAGATGACAATGTTGTTCGCTTCCCTGATGTTTGCAGAGGTCTAGCCAGGATTTTATGCCAGCCGGCCAACGTTCTAGTGAAAATGCATCGTTCTGGGGGCTGCGCCCCCAGACCCCCGCCATCAGTCACATATCCACACAGACACACACACACACACACACCACTACAAATCTTTCATTGCAGCTTGCATCTCCTTTCGCTTCGTCCAATTATGGACATTTATCAAGCAGTTGTGACAATGACATTGTGACTATAGGTAAATTAACAAAAATAATTAATATGAAAAGGAAACAAACACTATTGAAACAGCTACATCAGCATGGATCATGTGTAACGTGGAGGAACTACTTGAAGAGCTACAACTATTAAAACTATCTAAAGCAACGCAGTGCCTGAGTGGTCCGCCAAAACAACTGGAGTAGTGTACAATGTGATGGTCATGTGTTCCGAAATGCAGCATGCACAAGACCCAGCCACGAATGGCCCACGATATGACAGTCCAGAGTCTGTAGCTGTCAGTGTCACAGCCGTGTACCCACCGGAAGCAGCGAACCATGACCGGACCTAGCACCTGTTACATTTTACTGGCACTCTGCGCACCAACGACAACGTACATGTACTCAAGTGCATACTCAAGTGCTTTTCAGGGTGAGTGAAGAGCTAGCACTGAGCCTGAGTAGCCTCTGCTACGTAGATCTACTGACTCGAGTGCTAGTGCACTGTAGTGCAGTGCCAGTACAGTGGAAGTAGTTTTCGCTGCTGCCGTGCCCGTCGTTCTGTTTCCACGATTATTCGGACATTGTAGTGGCAGAAACTGGACCTATTTTCGACAGCTGACAGTGGTCGACTCTTACCTTGGCGGAGGATAGTGGGCTTGGTGACATGATTGAAAGAAAAATGATCCCGAACACAGCATGCTACGAATACTTGTACTTGTAGAAACTAAAATTTCTCTAAATCTCAATTGTTTGCCAGCCGGCCAAAATAACCCTTGGAGCCCTTGGAGCTGTCTCAGCCGGCAGGTCGCCCTCCCTGAGCCGGCTTTGGCTAGGCCTCTGGTTTGTGTGAAGGCTAATGCAACATGTAGCATTGTGATAGTATTGTCAGGTCATTGTCATTGCTGGTGGTGATGTATTGAGTTAGCATTGTGATAGTATTGTCAGGTCATTGTCATTGCTGGTAGTGATGTATTGAGTTAACATTGTGATAGTATTGTCAGGTCATTGTCATTGCTGGTAGTGATGTATTGAGTTAACATTGTGATAGTATTGTCAGGTCATTGTCATTGCTGGTAGTGATGTATTGAGTTAACATTATGATAGTATTGTCAGGTCATTGTCATTGCTGGTAGTGATGTATTGAGTTAACATTATGATAGTATTGTCAGGTCATTGTCATTGCTGGTAGTGATGTATTGAGTTAGCATTATGATAGTATTGTCAGGTCATTGTCATTGCTGGTAGTGATGTATTGAGTTAACATTGTGATAGTATTGTCAGGTCATTGTCATTGCTGGTAGTGATGTATTGAGTTAGCATTATGATAGTATTGTCAGGTCATTGTCATTGCTGGTAGTGATGTATTGAGTTAACATTGTCACACTGTTCCACATGTGTACCTTCATACAGGTCAACATGTCAGTCTAAATGCTGCTGGTACAGGACAATCAACAACAGCATTCCGCGTGACATTTGGTGATGGACAACCTACAGCCAATGTTACCAGTTACTTACCTGCATGTGTTGTGATCAGTGGATCAGGACCCTTCATTCGACTAGAGAAGACTGATGGTAGTCTAGTGTTGGCCGAGACAGGTGCCTTCTCAGGATCTCTAAACGGTGCACAGGTAAACACCACAGTACATCCTATACTGGACACATCATACACTGGACTGTACCATTGCAGAACAGTGGATCACAACTCAACACAAACATATCAACTCAACATTTTAGGTAAGTTTGAAACCATTTCCTATTTTCTGTGCAATAATCTCTCAATAACTGACTGTGTACTGTACAGCATGGTTACTGGAGTAGAAAGGAGAATGAAATTAAGAAATGATTTATTAGCTGTGTGTCTCACTCGCAATATTACGTGTATGTACACATGTGTGTGTGTGTGTGTGGTGCACCTGACTATTGCACATGTGTGTGTGTGTGTACACCTGACTATTGTACACATGTGTGTGTGTGTGTGTACACCTGACTATTGCACATGTGTGTGTGTGTACACCTGACTATTGCACATGCGTGATACAAAATAACACTACGTTCCTGCACAGTTAAACTTGAGTCTCCGACAACCTTATCGATCCGACCACTTTTTCTCCTCCTGAATATCCTTTCATAGGCGCATCTAGAACCTGGTCTCCGACTATGTTGGAGTATTTATATTCCAAGGAACAATAGCCTAGTTTGGTAGCACTTGTGCATGACCTATATTCACATTTCGGCATGAATACTACGTGATTTCCGCTCATGGTTTATGCACACTCTGTGTTGCATGCTGGCTGTACGTCTGTCACTGCACCCCGTATGCTTTCCCCCACACCTTCCATACACGGACTCGTGTCCGGATGCTCTGATGTAGGGCGCTTGTTCACTTTCACATACTGCAGCTAATATGGGACTATATGGGACTAACTCGAACCAGGGACCTTTCTCGCGAACATCCCTGGTTCGAGTCCTGGTGGTGTGACTGAGGAGGTTTTTCTTTCTTTCGTATCTGATTAGCAAGTGTTGAGTTTTGGAGAGAAAAGAGCAGTACGAGGAACCTGGTCTAATTTCCTAATACTTTGCAACTCTCCATCAAGTCCCAAATTTTGAAATTCCGATCATGGTTTATTTCTCAAGTCTTCACTCTATCCATTATTGCACACTGAAGACTTGCTACCACAAAACCTACAACCGGCTTGAATGTTCTCTTCTTTGTTTCCAGAACTTTGTCCAGATCTCATTTTTGCAAAACACAACTTCAAACCCATTACTGATTTTAGCAGGGCGATTGGTACGAACATATCAATAAGGTGTCAAGCGGGGTTTCTTGCTAACACCAGTCTGGATGTGACCTATTCTACATGCCAGAGTGGCGGAGTATGGAACCCAAGACCACCAGCATGTGAAAGTAAGTCGGTACACTAGTTATTATTGGTGTTGAAACAAGCGTATCTTTAGCACGACGCTACTTGAACGCGCCCAAACGTCAACACCTGTAAAAATCGTATTTTCCCGTGAAAGTACTACCTGTTCAAGGATCGATAACTTTACCTTCCGTTGGACGAATTCCACGATCTTGAGCTTCGTGGAAAGGTCTTGAGCCGAGGAACAAACTGGTGGCAAACCCAGCTCGGAGGGAAACCAAAACCCCGTGCTACAGTCTGGCAAACTTCATCAACGTGCTCGACAGACTCGAGTACGGCCAAGACTAACCGGGGTCAAATATTCAGCTGCCATTTCGGTCTCCTTGCTCGTATCGAGCTCAAATGTTTTGTCAAGACTCCATTTGAATCTTGTTTCCATGGCAGCAAGTAGCGCAAAAATGATCCACAATGGAAAATACGCGTTCTTCAGACTGCACGAAAAAATCTAGTTGAAATTTGCCGTGTCGAGTCGCATATCTCAACAACCGGTAGTCGTAATGCATCGGCGATTGTTTCTATCGCCAACTGAGAGTTTTCACGTGCAGATACAGGTTTCGATTGTGAGAATCGACCAAGTAGTGGGTGAGTTACGATAGTTTGAATAAGTTGCTATGGACTCAACACGGACCCCACAACTATGAGATGCAGGTTCACTGTACAGTGTACAGCGCGCGTCGTACTAGTACGACGGCCGTGGGGCATGCAACTCATGTGCGTCGTACCAGTACGACGCTTGCGCTAACGGGGTTAACAAACCAGCGAACAGTTCCACTAACGAGCAAGCTATCGAGAGAGCTAACGAGTTTCATTGATGTGGCAATATGATTTTTTACGTATTTTTTTCTAAGCTCGATTTCTTATTCAATTCAGCTGGTTCAAATAATTATCACTGCTGGTATTTGGGGTTGCTTCTGCTTCACTTCGGACTACTGTTTGGTGCCGAGATGTCGTTTCAGCGCAGTCGTTGAGCAGCCTTTGTAAGAATAGACCGTTTTGCAACGATTGCAAGTAGCCCTGTTCTTCGCTGCATCGCGCGAGAAAACTTCCAAATGACTGGGACTAACTTTCACTCGAATGGAAAGTTGACAGAAGCATGTCCTGCGACAGATCAGCAGATGCGGAACAAGACATCAGTGGAGGCCACCAAAGCTGCAACGACAACTGAAACACATTCGCGTTGTGCAGGCATACGGTCACTGTAACTGCGAGTGATTTTCTTTTTGCGTGGGACTGGACTCTTCGTACCAGGGAGTCGTAAAATATTTACGACTCCCGGTCGATATATACCGCCATGTGTACGGAGTACGGTGTTCGTTAGTGCACATGAGCTGGCCGCACAAACGAACCGAGTTTCTGGCGAGCGAGCTAACGAGTACTCGGTGAGATCGTTTCCACACTACTAGTGATGAGGGTTTTTTCGGGGTTTTAAGAGTGTGAAGCAGCGAGTTATTTTTCCAGCTTTATCTGGGTCTGTCGAGTTGCCGAACGAGAACAGTTGGAAAGCGGTTTCAAATGGCCGTGAAGTTGTGCGCCGGTCATTGGTGTCTCGAAGTGTTACTAACTGGTGATGGAGGTCACATTCTACTTGCTATGCCTATCTAAATATAGTGATCACTCTAGCACACAATTTCACGCTCACTATCCGTTTTTGCCGACAATGACGACTTGCGTAATAAAACTAACGTCTAAAATAGACCTTGAATTATCCTAGTTCCAAGCAAACACACAAACATGCTGGTCTATAATAATACCGGTAAATGGCACACTTTTTGCACCCGTTCTCTTCTATTTCCATTCCAGGTTGCAGAGTTAGATGTTCCGATGACATCAATGTTGAATCCTGTAATCACGTGATGGGACAAGGCACTGTCAACTGTATTTGTAAACTAAACTATATATGGGCAGGGAGCAAGTGTGTGGGTAAGTGCCTTATGTGCTATGCATCACACAACTTCACATTGATGTGTTGTGAATTGTGCCATGGTTCATGCTTGGGTGAGACAGAGACAGGCGCTGAACACTAATGTCACTGGCAATGTTTGAGTGCACACTCCTGTATGGCAAAACCTATGTGTACTTCACATGGGGATCACTAGTAGCTGCAATCTAGGTTTTCACTTGCTTCTTTCCATCTCTGCCTTTCTGTGTGTAACGCATATGCTTGTGTGTCGGTATATATGTGCGTGTATTTTGCTGTGTTCTATTTAGTAGTCTCTCCTACAATTCCTGTTACCAGTGGTACGTTCTATTCTGTTTCTCCTTGCCTTGCACTTTCAGTGAGTGCATCAAGCACTGCAATGGGTTTTGAAAACACTGCATGACCACTGTGTTGCATCTACTGGTGCATAAATGGCCATTAGAGCAGTGACAACAACTTTCTGCAACGTGTACTAGAAAGACTTGTGGCAGAATTGTTTCTAGCCGTGCAAAGATGTATGTGCAGTGGCGGATCCAGGGGGGGGGGGGGGGGCAGGGGGCATCCGGGACGGATACCTTGGGCCCCCTCTTCGGCCAAATCCTGGATCCGCCACTGATGTGTGTTTCATGGTAGGCTTGGTGTGTACTCCGTATACGACTAGCCGTGCTAAGATGTATGTGTCTTTCTTGGGAGTCTCAGTGTGTGCTCTGTATACAACTAGTTTGCCTGTATCACACCACAGAGCATGTAAGAAGAAATTAGTTGCTGCTCGACCCCTGGTACTGAATTCCTCGTTTTCGTTTATGTCCTTTTGTTACCCTAAATGCGCTGGTATCTATCTGTGTGTATTTTCCTGTGTTCTATTTAGTAGTCTCTCCTACAAGTCCTGTTACCAGTGGTACGTTCTATTCTGTTTCTCCTTGCCTTGTACTTTCAGTGAGTGCATCAAGCACTGCAATGGGTTTTGAAAACACTGTATGATAGTGTTGAAACGATCTCACCGGATACTCGTTAGCTCGCTCGCCAGAAACTCGGCTCGTTTGTGCGGCCAGCTCGTTTGCACTAACGAACACCGCACACCGTACTCCGTACACATGACAGTACATGTTGACTGGGGAGTCGTAAAATATTTTCCAACTCCCTGGTCGATCGAGAGTCCAGTCCCGCGCAAAGTGAAAATCACTCGCAGTTACGGTGACTGTATGTCTGCACGACACTTGAGTTGTTTCAGTTGCCGTTGCAGCTTTGGTGGACTCTACTGATGTCTTGTTCCGCATCTGCTGACCTGTCGCAGGATATGCTTCGGTCACCTCTCCATTCGAGTGAAAGTTACGCTCAGTCGTTTGGAAATTTTCTCCCGCTAAGCAGCGAAGACCAGGGCTCTTTGCAATCTTTGCAAAACGGTCTATTCTTACCAAGGCTACTCAACGACGGCGCTGAAAAGACATCTCGACACCAAACAGCAGAATGAAGTGAAGCAACAGCAATCCCAAATGCCGGCGGTGATGATTTGAACCAGCTGAATAAAATCTAACTTAGAAACAAAATATTCAAAAAAACATATTTGCCACATCAATGAAACTCGTTAGCTCGCTCGATAGCTTGCTCGTTAGTGGAACCGATCGCTCGTTTGTTATAGATACGCTCATTTCAACAATACTGTATGACCACTGTGTTGCATCTACTGGTGCAGAAATGGCCATTAGAGCAGTGACAACAACTTTCTGCAACGTGTACTAGAAAGACTTGTGGCAGAATTGTTTCTAGCCGTGCAAAGATGTATGTGCAGTGGCGGATCCAGGGGGGGGGGGTGGGCAGGGGGCATCCGGGACGGATACCTTGGGCCCCCTCTTCGGCCAAATCCTGGATCCGCCACTGATGTGTGCTTCATGGTAGGCTCGGTGTGTACTCCGTATACGACTAGCCGTGCTAAGATGGATGTGTCTTTCTTGGGAGTCTCAGTGTGTGCTCTGTATACAACTAGTATGTTTGTATCACACCACAGAGCATGTCAGAAGAAATTAGTTGCTGCTCGACCCCTGGTACTGAATTCCTCGTTTTCGTTTATGTCCTTTTGTTACCCTAAATGCGCTGGTATCTATGTGTGTGTATTTTGCTGTGTTCTATTTAGTAGTCTCTCCTACAAGTCCTGTTACCCGTGGTACGTTCTATTCTGTTTCTCCTTGCCTTGTACTTTCAGTGAGTGCATCAAGCACTGCAATGGGTTTTGAAAACACTGTATGATAGTGTTGAAACGATCTCACCGGATACTCGTTAGCTCGCTCGTCAGAAACTCGGCTCGTGTGTGCGGCCAGCTTGTTTGCACTAACGAACACCGTACACCGTACTCCGTACACATGACAGTACATGTTGACTGGGGAGTCGTAAAATATTTTACGACTCCCTGGTCGATCGAGAGTCCAGTCCCGCGCAAAGTGAAAATCACTCGCAGTTACGGTGACTGTATGTCTGCACGACACTTGAGTTGTTTCAGTTGCCGTTGCAGCTTTGGTGGACTCTACTGATGTCTTGTTCCGCATCTGCTGACCTGTCGCAGGATATGTTTCGGTCACCTCTCCATTCGAGTGAAAGTTACGCTCAGTCGTTTGGAAGTTTTCTCCCGCTAAGCAGCGAAGACCAGGGCTCTTTGCAATCTTTGCAAAACGGTCTATTCTTACCAAGGCTACTCAACGACGGCGCTGAAAAGACATCTCGACACCAAACAGCAGAATGAAGTGAAGCAACAGCAATCCCAAATGCCGGCGGTGATGATTTGAACCAGCTGAATAAAATCTAACTTAGAAACAAAATATTCAAAAAAACATATTTGCCACATCAATGAAACTCGTTAGCTCGCTCGATAGCTTGCTCGTTAGTGGAACCGATCGCTCGTTTGTTATGGATACGCTCATTTCAACAATACTGTATGACCACTGTGTTGCATCTACTGGTGCAGAAATGGCCATTAGAGCAGTGACAACAACTTTCTGCAGCATGTACTAGAAAGACTTGTGTCAGAATTGTTTCTAGCCGTGCAAAGATGTATGTGTCTTTCATGGTAGGCTCAGTGTGTACTCTCTATACGACAAGTCGTGCAAAAATGTATGTGTTTTTCATGGTAGGCTCGGTGTGTACTCCGTATACGACTAGTCAGTGTCTGCTCCAGAGCCGGGTGAGCCGGGTAATCGACCTGGTTGGACGGCGCTTGGACCTGGTTGAAAATATAGTACCGGATCACCTGTGACCCGGTTGGTACTTTACACGCTCGAACTTTGAAGGGATTGACTACATGGCTTGTATGTGTGACAGATCATGCGGAGGCGCACACCGAAGTGAAAGTAGTCAGTATCCGGTGTGTGCAAGTGCTCAGTTTGAGCTTGATCGTTTGAGGTGTTGCTTTGAGCCTCCAGCGAAGAGGCGAATCCACAGACCTCGCATGTGACTCGGCTGGTGAGACAGCGTCAGGCACATGTGTACACGGCTCCGAGCCGGTTGAAATGGTTGCGCCAGGTACACGTGTACCCGGCTGTCCTACAATCCTAGAGCAGACGCTGCTAGTATGTCTGTACCACACCACAGAGCATGTCGGAAGTAACTAGTTGCTGCTCGACCTCTAGCTCAGGTCCTGAATTCCTCGTTTTCATTTCTGTCCTTTTGCTACCCTAAAATCGCTGGTATCTGTGTGCGTGTATTTTGCTGTGTTCTATTCAGTAGTCTCTTCTACAAGTCATGATACCAGTGGTACGTTCTATTCTGTTTCTCCTTGCCTTGCACTTTCAGTGAGTGCATCAAGCACGGCAATGGGTTTTGAAAACACTTTATGACCACTGTGTTGCATCTACTGGTGCAGAAGTGACCATTAGAGCAGTGACAACAACTTTCTGCAGCGTGTACTAGAAAAAACATGTGTCAGAATTGTTTCTAGCCGCGCAAAGATGTATGTGTTTTTCATGGTAGGCTCAGTGTGTACTCTCTATACGACAAGTCGTGCAAAAATGTATGTGTTTTTAATGGTAGGCTCGGTGTGTGCTCTGTATACAACTAGTACGTCTGTATCACACTACAGAGCATGTCAGAAGTAATTAGTTGCTGCTCGACCTCTGGTACTGAATTCCTCGTTTTCGTTTATGTCCTTTTGTTACCCTAAAATCGCTGGTATAATATATGTGCGTGTATTTTGCTGTGTTCTATTTAGAAGTCTCTCCTACAAGTCATGACACCAGTGGTACGTTCTATTCTGTTTCTCCTTGCCTTGTACTTTCAGTGAGTGCATCAAGCACTGCAAAGGGTTTTGAAAACACTTTATGACCACTGTGTTGCATCTACTGGTGCAGAAGTGACCATTAGAGCAGTGACAACAACTTTCTTCAGCATGTACTAGAAAGACTTGTGGCAGAATTGTTTCTAGCCGTGCAAAGATGTATGTGTCTTTCATGGTGGCTCGGTGTGCACGCTGTATACGTCTAGGCGAGCAAGAATGTATGTGTCTTTCATGGTAGGTTCGGTGTGTACTCTGTGTAGGCCCAGTATGCCCGTACAACACCACTCAGTGTGTCAGAAGTAACTAGTTTCTGCTCGACATCTCGTACTGAATGCCTCGTTTCTGTTTATGTCCTTTTGTGGCCCAAAATGTCACAACCTACGGTTCAACTACCACTTCATCGGCGCTTCTGCCCACGACGCCACGACTACTTCACACAAACTCGCTACCTCCTACATCTTAAAATCAGCTATGTCAAGTGGAACACGATCCTTGCATCCGCCTTCCACTGCCGATGATTCTACAAAGCAGCGTGTATCAACTGCAGCTATCGTTGGCATTGCTAGTGTAGTAAGCATCGTGACAGTGGCATGTGCCATCCTTCTCACCTTCAAGATCAAGAAGGTTCACAGGTAGGATCTTACTATAAATTTCTACTTTATACTGGTGTGGCGGTGGCTTGTGTACTGTTTGCTCTTGGTCTCTACTGTAAATTACCACCAGAGCACCCCACCTTGATTTCACAGCCAGGGAAAAACACATAATCCTATGGCAGAGTGCAATAGATTGTGTGCGGTGTGAGAGCCTTAGTGTACTAAAGTCACACTTAGGTTTTTGTGTGCAGCTCGTGTCCGCTAAAAGTTAACGTGTATACGGATTGACTGCACAACGTGCAATGTGTATACACGGTTCGTGTGGTATGACCTACAGACAGGACCCCACGTCCACACTATGACCAGAAAAGGACGCGCCGTACTCGCTGTACTTTACACTACTTACGTGTATACGCTCATAGGATATGAAGGATGGCTAGTGGCTCTGGAAATTACCTGCATCCGAAGTGCCACCAGCAGTTACATGTTGCCCTGCCTTTACAATGAGAAAACCCTGTACGGTAGATAAATGCGCACAGGAACAATTTCGCCTGGTTGCATCATGTGTGAGCGAACAAGGTAGAAATGGAGAATTGGAATGTTACCTACATTTTGGCAAAAATCTGTTTTGCATGAAGGTCACCTACAACAATCAATTTTTTCAGGTTCCAAAGTTTCAGGCTGCTACTATCTATGAAGGAGTGTTTCAATCCTCTCCATTTTTCGGCACTAGCAATAGTCCAAGAAGATGGCTGCTACAAACGTTTGAACTTGCACTTCGTGCCAAGACGACTGACTCACGACTGCCGTGTGGAGCACATGAAAAGTACGTCAGGCGGTCCCCTCGTGAAGCCTGCAAGAAAGCACCACTCTCTGCTCAACACACAGTGTTTCCGGGAATTCCCCTCTCGTCATCACTGACTCATCAGCTGAACTGGAGTAAGCTGAGTAGGTCTAACGTCTGGAGCAGCCTCCTTCTTCTACAATAACTGCCCAAGTTTCAACATCTCACTTTGACAATAGTCCGATAGGATCAATTAAAACTGTGCAATTTTTGATCAGCATCGATGTGTCCGTTTTTATGTTCGGATTTGAGTACGATCCACCTCTGCATCGCATTTGCAATTGAAGGGCTCCGATTCAACACGATGTAAAACCGTTTTATGGAAAGTTCAGGAACTGCAGTTTTTCCTTTGTTCTTTTCGGTCTGCACTGCAGCAGCAATGACCTTTATCGTGTTTTGCAGAAGAACGCAAACTTTAGGCATCATTTTGACTGGGATGTATCTCAATTTGACCCGTAAAACCGACACACACAGACGTCCGTGGCGTGATGATGAATTCTTCCATTACAAAAAAACGCAAAAGCTCCGGTTTGGTCATTATAGCGTTTTGAATTGGAGCCCTTCAATTGTGTTTATGGATTCTCCACAGGCCTTAGCCTAAATCGATTGAGTCTCCGTCATTGCACATGCAAAAAGTATGTCCGAAATAGAGAAAAAAGAAAAAAATATTGTATATAAACGCAGTTGCATTGATTTTCTAATGGTGGGGTATGGCATAATTGTATGTCTGTGCATAACACATTGATTTTCCAATGGTGGGGTATGGCATAGTGGTATGTCTGTGCATAGCACATTGATTTCTCAATGGTGGAGTATGGCAGAGTGGTATGTCTGTGCATATTACACATGCAATGATAACATCCTGATAAGTAGAAGGACAAAATGTTACGAGTTATGACTAACTGCCCACCAACGTAACCAGATCTTATACAGTCAGAGAGTGCGACAAAATGGTGGACAGTTATTCATAACTCGTAACATTTTGTCCTTCTTCTTTTCACAATAATTTAATTGGCTCACCATCCGAGTTAAATGATAACATCAACAATAATAACAGTTTTGGATAGTCTCCACAGGCCCAAGTCACCCCCTGTCAACAAACGTAGAAATCAATTTCACGGTCCGCTCAAGACTCAGTTAGACTGAATTTTCAGCATCCGTAGGAACTCCACCACCCTTCAAAGATTTAAAGTGCAGAAGCAGCTCCTAAAGCGGTGGGAGGCCCACCACCAAAGTGGTCCGAGACCGAAAAGCTCATTTGCTGCATTCATGTTTCCCTCGTGCCAGGCCACGAGTTTCCTATCGACTATGGGCCGCAGCACAGCTGGAACCAATCCTTCCGCTTCCTGGCAGGACTTGGACCTGGTACCATCTATTTCTCAATCATGGTCTTAGACAAACCCCCATGTCAACACCCTAGAATACTGCCGAATACTGGATTAACGATTCGATTATAGAGACATAGTAGGCCGTCGAACTCTGACGTCACAGCTTCTTGACAACGCGTAGCTACTTGGCCAAGGGGTGACAAACAAAAGTCGCGTCACCTGCACTTTTCATGTTTCCAGTGACAGCATTCTGCAGTGACCACAGCTACAGCATCTTTTAGACTGAGGAGAGCACCAGCAACTCTGGGCTCGTTTCCTTGTCCAGCGGCAAGCGAAAATCATAACTCCTATCTCTCAGGTGCTGGTTAACACTCAGCAGGAAAACACTGCACGATGGCTTGAGAGGCAAGGAGAAACTTGTTGAAGTAAAACAAATTTTGAAGTCGCAATCTGCACCAGCGCGCCCCAGTCAAAGTGATGCTGTGACCGTTGGAAACACGACAAGTGCAGGTGACGCGACTTTTGTTTGTTACCACTTGGGCTTGTAACTACGTGTGACTACGAGTTTTCAGGCAGCGTGACGTAGGCACTTCGACAGCCTATAGTAGAATAGAAAAGAAGCACTGGCAAGAAAGTAATGAAAAGACACGAAGTTTATCTGGTCAGTACAACACTGATGGCATGCTCATTACCACAATCTCCCAAACATAGCTGCACAAAACAATAAAACGAGAACATGGAGAAAGGTTCCATGTGGGCTCAAAACCCATGGCGAGTAGAAGTTACATAGAATAAAGGATAGAGCAGAATGGTTTTATATGACGAGCATCAGAATTACAGTTCATTCTTTTCGATGTACTTGCACTTAAAAGTGCAAGTACATCGAACTTATTGATGTCATCAATTCCACTTCAACAGGACACTGCCTGTGGACACTCCTGTCACTGTCCCCGTGGATATCCTGCCCCCCAACACCACCGAGGAGGAAGGTGGTGATGACCAACAGGATGCAGCCCAGCCAGACACGACCACAACAACAATTGCAGTCAGCCAACGGGTACCGCAAAGGTCAACGACTAAATGCAAGGTGGCGCGACCATTTGTAGTTGTTGCACCCGCAACGAAATCCCATGTATACTCAATTGAAGAAGTATCTTCTTCCGGGGAGATTGAACTGCTGACGTAGTTATGTAAGTCCACTTCCTACAACCCAGCACTACTTTTACATGGAAAGCTTAAGGTTGCATTTGTTCGGTCATTCCCCGAATGGGCAGGCCATGCGGTCGGTACCCATCGCGGAATCGGAATGAGGGTAGCAAACAAACCTGCCCGCGTGGACTCGTGAATCTGGCGTTTTGTGCAACTCTGAAAATGATGGTTGGATGTTTTGTTTGTGTACCAGCTTCGCCTGTTGTTTTGTAGCCTTGCCAAGGCTATCGGTAGTTACTTTTTTGCTTGCGTACATTTCTGCATGCCCCTTACAACAGTCCAGATGATGGTGCGGCCAAACGCGGCGTAGATCTACGAGCACCCGTAACTAGGGTGCCTATACATGGCGTTTGTCCACTACTTCATCATGACTTTTCGACACCTCGTCTCAGACACAGAAACATCTCTAGTTCTACACGTAACGGAGGGTCTTTTTTTATTTGACAGAAATTAGGCACTGCAGTGAGCAGAAGCCAAGTGGCAGGCTCAGTACCTGTTTGGAAGATTAGGTGCTGTGGATCGTGGGGCTCAACAATGAGTTCTTGCTAGTCTCGCTGTGATTCTAGAGGCCCTGCTC